TTCTAATAATAAAAACAAACACGGCTACCACCACGGTTTAACTGGACTCCATAGAAAGAAGCTAATTTTATTCTGAAATTTTTGGCATTTCGGCATTCCTATGATGTATCCTCGGAAAGAAAAAATGTATAATAATAATAAGGTAATTACGAGGATACCTAAAAGTATGCACGCACAAAGTACGCAGTCGCTGTGCGTGGTTCGATACTCTTTTTACTGTCTTTGTGCATACTTTGAGGTATCCTTGTAATAACCTCATACTATCAAACATTCCAGGTACTGTATTTAAAAGGCGTTAGTCGTTGCGCAGAGCGTGTTCGAATTCTATGTGAACATGTATTTTACACGCGTTATGTACGTCTCTATTCAGCAAGCAGCGGCGCGAAGATTATCGCTCTTTTAAACGCAGAACACCAAAATAGTTTACTTATTTTAAAATTCTGATGTAATTTTTCGAGACCAATGAAATAACTGTTAGAGCATTGTATTGTTTTCTGAATGTCCACGAACATGTATCTATACATTTATGAAGTTATATGCACACTGCGATGCGAGTAATTATGTTTATAACTTGTAACTTAAATAGTTAATGATAACAGTTTCTGTTATATACATCAGCAAATTGCAATAGATTTACTAATACTCCAGTACGAGTTCGATATTAATATATTAATATTCCTTAAATTACACGTTTCAATGCAATAATTTGACCTATACACACAGGCTAATATTATGGAACTGACTTGTGTTTTTTACTGTTTACTCCCATCGAAATGTAGATTTGCTTCGTCCTTTGTTGCTCTGGTTACCACGATATTTGGAGGCGACCCGACAGACAATTTGAAAGCTGACGATCTGCTTTTTAACGTTACTGGGGCTATAGTCGATGCAGGACCTATGTACAAAGCAATGGGGTTTATACTATATGCATCGTTTGGTACTATATGTATGCTAGTATTGGTAAATATCTGCATCGCCATGATGTCTGATACTTATGCACGGATGAAGGTAAGTATGCCATGTATACATGGTAGATATACTACTACAGTTCATGTCTTGTCAATATAGACAATATAGGCGCATAGATAAACACTAGCCAACCAAGTGAAAGCAAATTAGTGGTGTGTTACCTTAAAAATAATGAACAAAGATTGATGACAAATAAATACTATGGGCACCGCTTGTTAGTGTTTAAAGCGGGAGGTTCGTCACCTGCGCACGCGCGGGAATTGAGTCCTAAGCGCCGATAATAACACACGCTAAAAACGCAAAGGCTCATGGGTAGACGCTTGTTTGTATATAATGACACGCTATGGCCATCTGACGCATGCGCAAGTGACGTCTCCACTGCTTTAAATATAAGTAACACTAAACAGGGGTGATACATTCAAAGCAATAACAGATAACACCTGTAGTTAGAAAAGGTGTTATTGAAATACTTTACTTTAACGAATGTCGCTAAATATGAAGACGTTGATAAATTAAATATTCTAATTGTATATATTAACAGTGACAAGGATACTATTTTTCTCAGGTATCAACATGCCAGCAGAAACACGTTGAAGTCTTATCCACTTAAATCATGTAGGATATGGTATTGGAAAGATATTTCATCACGGACACCACTACAAAGTTTCTTAAACCTCGTGGTTCTTTGTTTAATTTGAATATTATTTATGTATATGTCGACTTTTTTCAGGAAAATATTGAGGTCGAGTATAGGTTTATGCGGACGAAAATATGGTTGAGTTATGTCGACGCCCCCGTATTGCCAGCTCCGTATAACATTATTCCAACCGTCTCCTGTATTATTTCCATTGTCAAAACATGTGGCTGTAGGTATAGACCTGACTCGCGTACAGATATTAACGTTGAGGTAAGAGCATTGAGATGTTAAAAGTAGCTAGTAAATATGGATATCACATTAATGTAAAAGTTGTTCATTTCAGCATATCTAACTCTATGCATGTGGATAATCTGCAGTTAACTGATCCAAATGATAAAACAGGCAGAGAGCAGATGAAGAAAGGGTTACTCTATGAGGAGGTGAGTTGGGTTTTATTTTTGTTTTGACAAAACATGTATACAACATTATAGAAAGAAACTATCGAAAGGAAACATTTACTTTTACATTGTAAGAACACTGCTTAATATACGATGCTGAAGTAGAAGAATATTTGTTTCTGTTCGGTAAGTAAACTAGCGTTTTGATTTATTGAGCACGAAAGGTCAAATATAGTGCCCGGACATGTATAGTCAATGTCATTGCATACTTTCAATAAAAGTCGGTTTTAAGACACACTAGATTTAGTTTGTTCATCAGAAGTAATTAGACTTGGATATATCTCACCTACATCAATAATCTGTTTGTTTTTTTACAGCTAATAAAGGTACTACGTGCTCGCTATATGATAATGAAAGGTATCGTGAACCAGAATATCATGAGGAAGTTACATGATTCAGCCCATCCTCCGGAAAACGGAGAAGACCTTAAAGAACCTATGGATGTGACGTGTTTCTAAAAGTCATGTTATGACCGTGATAAATGTAGATTTATTTTTAAATCGCGTCGATTTGTATTTGTCAATAAACTAAGTACGAATGTTTGTTTGGGAGGGGAATTTTATGAATATGAAACACATAACGGCTGTGCTGAACTTACTATTGATAGATAGAGAAAGAACATTTGTGTACACTTTCTGCATTCTCTCCTTAATTGTCCTGTCACCTGTACGATTTACTGATCATTTGATCATTGATTTACAGTATAGAACTGAATAATTGCATTTGTACATGCGTGAACTCCGGGACACGTATTTAGTACATTTCTTCAAATTAAAATAGCTACGGAACGATAATGGTCTTCGTCAGTGAGTTTGTATGTGCTTTATTGTGGATTACATGTGTACATCTTGCTATATAAGGTTCCATAAGTATATACTTTTATTTGTATTTAACAGTTTGCAATCACTATTATTTATACTTTTTACCATTTGTTTTTGTTCAATCATAAGTACAAGAACAGTTTTTGTCCAATAATATCATGAACAATATTTTGCAGCCAAAGTCTTTGAGCAATTAGAGCGCCAATTCTTTGGTTTTAATCGCATTAAAATGTATTATTTACGTCTTGTTCAAGGTGTTCAAGGGTATAATTGTATAATAATGTATAGATAAAGAATCAATTGTCAGCCAGTTCCGACGATAAAGTGCAAAAAACGAATGAATATGAACGCTGAGGGCGCATTTTTTGTACTATCATTATAGACTATGCTTGCAAGGGATATTTCAAGCGATTGTGTGAGATAGTTGCAAATTTGCTCGCATGCCGGGTAGCATTGCACTACACAGTACCCAGAAAAAGTTGTTTTGCTAGCGGGACCAGATATAAATAGAAATCAGACTTACAGAATGAGTATGCAAATAAAAGGATGCTTGATTATTAAACGACGCAGCCGCAAACATCACATGATGATTATCAGTAGTATTAGTAGTATCAGACTATCATTATAATTTTACTTTAAATTTAGACTGTGGGCATTGTACTTATACTTCGATCTTCCCACTATGCTTATTGTAATCGCGTGTATATACCTTCATCATTTAAGTATTGATAGTATAAATATTGCAGTCATTTCAATGAAACATTTACTTTGTCAGTATTTTTTGTTGTATGACTTATTTCATTATTATTATTCATTATTGTTTAATATCAATGTAGCACTGCAAACGTTGTGACCTACAAATATGTTAAATATTACATGTTTTAAAACATTCCACACTTTTCATTTTCACAAATGCATGTCATATCGGAACTATGAAATTGAAAAACAGTAGGGTCTTTATATTGTACCTTTACATGTATTGTATCTTTATATGTACTGTCTAGTTAATATCAGATGTGTATCGGTAACAAAAGCGACGACCAAATAATGTCATTGTCGGGCTTCAGAGAATTTGATCTGTTGTAAAAAATGGTTCTAAAGAAAATATATCGGACCTTTCATATACATACTGATTACACTAAATATGCTGCACCAAGTGATATATTAATATGAAAGGTCAGAGCAGCTGCGCATTAAGTGCGGGTATTGATATGTTAATTCCGTATGTTGTGTGATCGCGTCATCGACGTATTGTTGTATCACAACACGTGACTGTATGTGTACACGCGTAAATCAGCACACAATCAAACACTTGGAAGCTAAAAGCTTAACAATTAACAGATGAGGTACGTATGCCTTTATAATGAGCATGGTTTTGTACGGTAAACAAATGAGGAGGTACGTTCAGCATGTGTTTACTTGTGTGTGATTTATGTGTATGTGAGGTGAGATGGGGGTGTATGTGTTTGGGAATATATGTCCGGTGAGAATTATCACCCGGGAAACATCATTTTTGTTTATTATATCGAAAAACTGAGATTACAATATACATGATGAATGTCCATACAGTATATATGATACATGATGGAAGTTGTATGCACTAAATATGGACAATCGGCCATGGTGTTTTCACGATTATGATCAGTGGAATTATATGAATGAACGTATCGGTTGATTGTCGTTATTTATGTAATGTAGAGTGTGATGTAACAAATGTCAATAACAATATTTTTTTTAAAAAAAACATCTATAAATATACATTGCTGAAGATAGAGTAGAGTAGGGATCAAAATAAAATGCACGGTACTATTAACTTATTTCAATTTTACTCACACATTGTACCGTCTGTCTATCATTCTTGATTGACAGCTAATGTGACCAGACTGACCTGTCGGAACCTGCAGAAAAATTAAACCCTGTGTTCAACTAACTATTCAACACATTCAATTGTTACGCTAGCAGCTGCTTTGTGACCCGATTGTAAGTCATAACTATGTACGTGATTCATGGACGATTGTGATAATACGTTACATGAACACAGTTGCTGTATATAGAAGGGAGCACGGCTGCGACTAACACCGTCAAGGAGTTAGGATTATATCTGTACAAGAACTCATGGCCAAAATACGTCGTCAGTTGACCAGAGCCGAATGGAACTATTTTACGCAGGACAGATCTAATGAAGATTTAACAAACAATGAGACTGAATTTCTATCAGCTGTTGAACGCGGGGATACAGATGCAGTTGCATTACTTCTGGAGGTAAATAAAAACATATTCCATGGTTAGTGCTTTGTTACAAATCAGTATGAATAGCCTGAATTGCGTAATCTTCATGAAGTGAAATGAAGTAATCTTCATCATATATTATTTTCATACTAATAATAATAGTAATAATAAGTTTATTCAAGTACATAGGCCACCGGCCTTTAAGTACAAATCAGATATAAAGTATATATTTACACATATTGTAGTAATATACTTGTCAACGCTTTTACAGAATGACGAGCTCAACATCAACTGCGCAGGTCTAAGAAAAAAACAACCAATAACGGCATTGCAAATAGCGGCAAAAAATGACGATTATCACATGATCAATCTGCTACTAAACAAAGGAGCCACGCCAATCACAAGGCCACCAAAATTCCAGAGTAAGTGTACACAAAACGCGAACGCAATTTATTCTATACTCAAAAATTAGTCATTTCCCAATTCCATATTTCATGAGCGTAATTATCTCATCTTTTGTAGAGCAAAGAAGTATATTGGGACATGATAACATGCTCGAAACATATAAAGCTTTAACATCACCTGCCTACCTGAGCGCAGCTAACAGTGACCCACTTATGACTTCTATGGATCTTGCAAATGACATTCAAGGCGTGACAGACGTAAGAAATAGTAAATACTCGTGAATTGAATAAATGAAACAAAGCTATTAATTGGTGACATAACTCTAGGATAATATTTGTAAAAATATATATTTGCATCAGTGATTATATGACCAATCTGCAGCACATAGCCAATATCTAACACAATTCCTCGCCATATAATAGGAACACTATGAGGAGATGAGGGAAAAGGTTTTCCAGTATTCTTTGGAATGGCTGGAGTGCTGCGAAGACATGAAAGAAGTCTGCATGCTTTTGACTGGAAATGATATTGATGCCATGGAAACTACACTTCCAGACACAGGGAGCATTATCAATAGAGCAATAGAGTGCTACAATAAAGAGGTTAGTCTAACAAAACGCTTGTGAGGTTGTTGTAAAAGAGGATAATCATCTTGAAAATTAATGAATGCATTTTTATTTTCTGATATAGTACGTAATTCGAAAAGGTCATTTACATTCATTGGCCAATTAATTACTTTTGAAGCAATTTAATATAAAATTATAATTAATATAATATTAATATTTAAAATAATACATTTAATTGCACTACGTGATTACCCCAACGCCATCCCTAACTCAACCAATTATTATGTGTTCCACAGTTCGTTGCGCATTACAAAACCCAGAAGATTATGAAGAAAATATGGAATTACGGTCAACCATCTTGGAGAGAAAAACAAGCAGACAGCTTTTCGTGGTCGCTACTCTACGCTGCTTATTGTCTTTTAATGTATGTGGTGCTGCTGCCCGTGTTATCGTTAGCGTACATCATAGCACCAGACTGCACATTGGCGAAAATTATTGATAATCCCAAAGCTAAATATTTCACCAAAATGACGTCATACTTACTATTTCTTTGTCTTGTTATTACGTTGAACGTGCACTTAGCCCCAAACCCAAATTATCCATTAACTGGCGTGCTAATGTTTCTACTCATGTTTCTTTTAATATACGACATGGCATTTATTTGGGCAGAGGTAGTGGAAATGAAAAGCAATGGTTTTAAAATGTATGTTACAAACTTTTGGAATTATATAGATCTGATGATATTTTTATCGTTTGGTTGGGACATTACACTGAGGCTACTAAACAGTTTGGAAGAAATTGAAATTGATGATGCACTACAAGTCTTTTGGATCACTTGGACAGCTCTCACTCTGACACTAGCTTGTCTGCGATTCTTGGAACATGTCTACCTTACCAATTACCTCGGTTCCATGTTACTGTTGTTTACTGCAATGAAAGGGGACGTAATAAAATTTCTCGTGATCTTCGTATACGTTGTTTTATCGTTCGCATTTGGGTTCTACTACCTGTATGAAGGTGTTGAAGGAAATGTGTTTAACGAGTGAGTATATATACAGAATAAACGGCACGGTGAATACTACTAACTCAAACCAGCGCTCGCGTACGGCACCCAATCGCCTAGCGTCACGTCATTAGGTGCCTACGCGAGCGCCGTTTCGAGTCACGCATGTAGTATGTGTTTACTTTGATTTGGCGTAGTATTTACCTTGCCGTTTTTTCGGTGTTGTTTGCTTACTTTACTTTCTATGTCAGCAGCTAATATGAGTATATATATATACGTATGTTTGATTATACAATGACGTTCTACGCTGGAATGGTGTTTTCTGATTGGTTGTGCAGGTATACGCTTTGTATACTACTTTATAACGCACAGGAAAACGTTCGTATATCGTTTATTTCTGTGCAATGCATGTCCAGTTGATTTTCGAACGATTATTCTCGGATACTAAAATACTGAAAACATTTATAGACGTGTCACTGGTGAAATAAAATGGGTCGTAGATTAAGAAGCACAATTTCTTTACTTCAGATAAGCGTGACATGTCGATTAATTGAGCTCAATGTTTCCAACAGCAACGTGTTGAAATGAATTTACTGTCAAATACTGTTATTTTGCAGATTGGAATCATCTATAGCTTCCTTGGTCATTACAATTTTTGGCGGTGATCCAACTGAAGAACTTAAAGGAAATGAGTTATACTTTGGTGCAATGCCGAGTTACAACATCACTGGTTTTTATGCTTCTCCTATGTACAAAGGAATGGGTTTCGTACTTTTTACAATGTTTGGTACTCTATGTATGTTGGTTCTAGTTAATATATGTATTGCCATGATGTCTGACACGTACTCACAGCTGAGAGTGAGTATCTTTAAATTTTACATATTAATTATTGTTATTCGATTATTGTATTTGCAAGAATCTTGCAAATAGTGCGATGAGTAATATTATTTGTTATACCGTTTTTAGGAAAATATCGACACTGAGTGGAAGTTCCTTCGCACGAAAATTTGGATGAATTACAGCCGTGCCTCCGTACTTCCAGCGCCATACAATATTTTACCGTCCGTTTCGTCTTGCAAGCGATACTGTAAGTGTAGTAAGAAAGAAACGACTTCAACAGAAGTGGTGACAAATGACGAAATCGAGGTGAATTGGTTTTATTATTATGGTATTCAAGACAATTACTCACAATTTATCTGATGTAATGACATATATGTATAAGATAATAATAATATACTATTTATACTAACAACTCAAGTTGATTATCGTACATGATATCTTACATTATTTCTTAACCTTGATTACTAATTCTACATGATTTGCAATCATTTAACATCTGATGCATAAACAATACATCATTACGTATTTACAACCTACATTACACTCCACAGCTTGCATTGTCCACAAGTGAAGAAAGTCGAGTGCTACATTATAAGCAGGTAAAATGTCATGACAATATCTTAAAGCCTGCAGTCGGAATTTCGTTTCTAAATACTATAATTAATAAACCTGTGTAAACTTTTATTTCATTGATATTTTTTGCAATTGAATCTTTCTAACTGTTTTATTTTGTAGCTCGTTAATGTTCTTCTAGTTCGTTATTTACTGATGAAAATGTTTATAAAGGAGGAAGACATAGAGTGCAGTGAATCCACTGATGATGCTCATATAGACGTAAAAACAGATGATACAACAGCAAATGCATAATTGTGTGACATATATCTTATTTTATTCTAATTTAAAAACAAATAATTGCTTTGAAATACATTTAATTTATTTTTTATTTATTAAATGTCAGCCCGATTTTGTAATAGAACTAATTAGAATGTAATAATAATGGTTAGGAATATTGGTTGGGAATTTCCACACGGACGATTTGTATTATGCTTCCCAGAAATCCTTGCTGATATGTGTGAACCAAAAATATTCACATTCACACTATGAAGTATTCATATGCGAAGGCAAAAGTGAAAAAATAACTCATCACATTTGTGACTTTAGATTTACATTAATTCATGGCAGTCTGCATTAATTCACTTATTTTATGTATTTCATTTCTGTTGTTGTTGTTGTGTACTTGTAACTTAATCCATTTCATTGTGATTACAGACACTGCCTGTATTGTGGTAACTGATTTGCGTATGTATAGTTATATAAATGAATTAATATAAATTATGAAAATGCATGATTACTACCTAAACGATAATACGTATTAATCACGTGTTGCTTGTCATTGATCTAGTGCATAAATCATTTGTAAAAACAAAATATGAAATTGTATGATTTACGATTCAGAGGACAACCTGTAATAATAAAGTGTGTAGCAATCACATGTGTTTGTAAAAACTTACATTCGCACCTTTACTAAACAGGCTGTATATACATCATTTGGATTGTTTTTCCACAAATCGTACAATAACATCATCAAGTTATTGAACAATTAAAGAACTCTTACGTCTGATGGTTCGATTTAAATATATTAAATATTATTTTTTTAAATATAATGCAAGTAAATTGCATTTCATTTTATGATTCACGTACGCAATGATTAGGGCGTTACTTTGTATTAGGGCAAGGAATATTCGATGTTGTTGTTCGCATGTCATTCGAACGTACACGCTTTCTGTAGTACACTACTTTGAAAAGAAAAGGACCTCGCGTGACAGTGGTATATATTACTCATGGCAGGGCATTCTGTCCAGACTGAGCAATTCAGAGTTATAAAAGGCTTACAATACTTTACTCTACGTAGTCACGGTAACAACATCAGTACGCGCGTCCACGATGCCTCAAAGGTTCGGCTGTACGGTTATTGAACTCATTTTGTAAAGATGTTATGTCTCACTTACACAAAAGTGCTGAAGAATAGTTCTTTTTGAATTGCATTCATGCTATCGGCTGTTTTTCAGGAGTTATCAACCTCTGTCTATAGACCAGCGGCTGCAATTGTAGACAACTAGTGTTGCCGAATATAAATTTGGTGAATGTAAAATAGGCTTCAAACTGCATTCATTAAAATCAGTCGGTGGATTTATCTTGACAATCATTTGGGTTGTATTGATCTGTGTTTTTTGCGCCACTTTGAATGATGGGGGAGTGCGAGAAACTGTACAAACGCTGCCATGAATATATACAATCAACGATGTGATATACTGTCACTATGTTATGGTCACAATTGCAGCCAATTAGTGTTAGTAGGTAGGCGTGATTCTGTGTGTTTCTTTTGAGCTTTTGTGACGAAAACAAAAAGACTTCATATTTTGTTATATAGCTAGGTCAAATTCGATTGTATAAATAAATTTCTAATTTTCTGTCTACTTCAATATTGTTCACAATGTATGATTCAGAAGTTGAGTTGTGTGTGTGTGTCTGCAAATTCTGCGCAAATAAAAATAGTATTTGTGGTAACCCGCTACGAGCTCCGTACTGTCAAACACAAAAACAAGGTACAGATGAAATATCTGTAGTTCTATCAGGGGTAAATTCTCTTCTCTCGGGTTCTCCACACTTGTCAGGGGGGAATCTCGTCTCGTCTCTCTATCGCGTCCCCTTGAGGTACGGGATCGGGAAAGTCACTTATACTTTACAGTCAAATAAGACACACACAACGAAATACGTTTCAACTCTCGTCTTAGTCGGTCAATCGAGCACTCTATAAAACACAACGCCCTGGGGGAAAAATCCCCAAGACTCTCTTAGACTGCGTCAACACTTGCCCCAAGTCTCTCCAGGACTGCCCTCGACTCTCCAGGACTGCACTCTCTCTACTGCCTCTGTCGTGCTGTGCTCCCCAAGACCAACTCAAACTCTCTTTATTCATTTTCAAAACTCTAACCAATTACAAAGCCGTACAAAGACTCTAGGGCGTAACCTTCAATCATAAAGCCAATCACACTGAGTACTGAATACGTCATATCTTTTGATTAATCGTTCATTACATTAATAACTATGAATATAAACTGTCAGAATAGCGACGATTATCTTGTAATTAGTTCCAAATCACTGAGCCAAGTTCCGTCCAAAACTTCAAATAGGCCTAAACGATGACAGACATAACACAGCAATTCAGCTAATAATCAGCTAATTAAGTCGGTTAACAGATACGCAAAAACAAATTCATGACAGTTCACTAATTGGCGTTCGTAATTTCTAAGAAAGCCATCAGCTATATTTGTACCGCTATCGCGGATGTAAGTATCGAATCACATTGAAACGTTCAAAACCTGGTTATTTTGTTTTGTTTTTTCGCACACCACGTTTTCTTATTTTTTTTGCACTTTACACCCATGTTTAAAGGGCGGCAGTCGTCGTGCCGCGTCCTGTTCGATATGAGACTCATAGCGACGTATACAACGCGTGTAAAATACATTGTTTGTTTACATGGAATTCGAACACGCGCTGCGTGATGACCTCCGCCCTTTAATAACATAAATTCTCACAGCAATGCCTCGAAGTGATCTCCACGTAGTAATTACATGTGTTTAGACGATGATGAGTAACCCAATTAATATTCATAAACTGGCGAGTTGCTTTCATGCTAAGAATTTGCGAGCTGCTTTCATACTAAGCATAAGATGCGGGCAGTATTGCTCAATAGTTTAGTAAATACAGAGAACATTTATAACTTTAGGTCGTGCCAAGTAATCGGCTTATTGTGCAATCCCCTAGAGCTCTGATAGAGCTTTCAATGCAACGAATATAACAAGAAACCAATAAGCCACTAGAGCTTCAGTCAGCTGTCGGTACAGGCGAAGCAAAACAATTGCATTTATTTTGGTATAACATACCGATAATATGTGCGTCTGCATTGCATATATAAACCTATACTCAATTTATCCCAGAGTAACTCATAGCGTCAAGGAATAATATAATATTCTGGTAAACATGAGAGATTCACAAATCTGTTTTGTGTGCAGATGTGACACAGAAATATAAACTATAGTCAGGTCACAGACCAACGCGCGTGTCAGGTATAATTGCCTAGTGAAGCAAGCACAGTCTATATTGTTGTTAAAAATATGCCCTCAGCGGTTGTGGCTGCACTGCCATATTCATTCGTTTTTTGGACGTTTATCATCGGAACTGGTTGACAACTGATTATACGTCTTTCATATTCAATTCCCTTCCCATATTTTTTTTATTTTTTAAGATTTTAATCGTGAACACCCTTGACAGGACAAATAATACATTTTGATGCGATTAATCCAGCAGTCAAAATATATGGACATTTGTATTATAAATGCTCAAGGACATTTGCTAAGAAATGTTTCTAATGATATCCATAAACAAAAAAACTGTTCTTGTACTTAAACAAAAATAAAGCGAGACGACGTTTAGTTTAAAGATTTTTGGCTTTGGATAAGTTGCAGCAATCTGCAACACAACTGTTATGCTTAGACAAGGGAATTATACGCAAAACAATTCCTGCTGTTTGATAACTTACTGATGTTGAGTACTGATATTTTGAGGGTTTTCAAACATTCACATTCGATATCATCTTCGTGTTGCGTTAGTCAATGCAGGCCTAACACGCCATTTTCTTTTATTTGTTTAAGTTCAATACCATGCGCGGTATAGCAATGACTTTTCGAAAACAGCGAAGACCACGGCCAACATATGTTTGGTTCTAAATTATTTTGTTATCATTGTACTGTGAAAACGCAGTCACACACAGTTCTAAACCAGTGCATTATATGCTACTCAAAACAATTTAAGGAACACTTGAACATTCTCAGTTACAGCAAGATCCTTTATTTCAGATAAACCCATTTTGTCACATAATTAATGTGAAACATCTGCACAATGAAACAGATGATGAGGACTGAATGTAACCATTACACATTTCGTTGCATGAGTTCTGAAAGAGAGAAGGGTTGAAAATGAAAATCCCAGATCATGGAACATTTCAATAATAGGTTTGACCACCTTTTGATCCCACAAACGTTCAATTGGTGCCATGCCAGGTGAATAAGCAGGCCAATCCATTCTGTTGATGTTGTGTTGGATTCGAAAATCTGTGACAACACGTGCACGGTGTGGTATGGCATTTTCATCCTGTGGGACTGCCGCAGCATCTATTCTATGTAGACAAGTTAATACAATAGGTCGCAGGATCTCGTCTCTGTAACGTAATCCAGTTAATTTGTCATCAATAACATGGAGAGGGGTCCTTTGGTGGTAGCTGAAGCCATCCCATTCCATGATGCTGCCACCACCAAACTGATTGTGCTGTATGGCATCAGTGAAGCGTTCACCAGGGCGCCAATAGACTAGCCTAACAGCCTGGCGCCTAGGCCTGACATTTCTGGCTCTCAGACGGTTCCGCACAATCTGCTCGAAGGGTCATACATGGGGAATTGCCAGTTATAGTTCGGTTACGAAGGGCTAAGATAAGGAGGTAGCGGTCCTCAGCTGGAGTGGACGACGACCTGGCCTGGGTCTGCCATATACTGTATGGTTTCTCTGAAGCACTGGAATAGTCTGTGAATAACAGATGAGCTCACATTTAGCATTCTTGCATCTTCTCGCAAGGAAACACCCTCATTCAACCAGCTTATGGCCCTTGCTCTCTTCAATTGTTAAATGTCGACGTGGTGGCATGCTCGCAAAAGCTGCGACAACGCCATTAGTGAGTGTATTCTGATTACCATAATTGGCAGATGTGATCACAAGGATGCATTATGTACAGGGAAAAAACTCAACATACTTCGAAGCAGTAGAATTAGAGCAGGTGTGTGATGAGCAATGTTCCATCTTTTCACCTGATTTCCCCCTAAAAGAGTACATAACTGTGAAATTGAGGGCGCACGTATTCTCATCTACTAGGTTAGGAAAGAATTTAGACATGTGCAGCAGATTAAAAACTGTCATTGTGGCAATATTGAGGTTACATGACATCGATTAACATGGTCCAAACGTATTTGATGTAAAAACTCAGGTGTTTCTTAAATTGTTTTGAGTAGTATATATACTTAATAAGGAATTTTTTTACATATTTTACAATATACTTTTTAGTTTAGAAGATCAAGGGTTAATACGATAAACACAGGGCATTTAGTTCTCACATGACAACAGAAAGTTTTTAAATAATAATAATAATTCCATTTAAAACGACACTTTTGCCGTGTATTCTGAAAGAAAACACTTATCGCATTTTGGTTTGAATGAGCCATTCTTTCAGACAATGATGGGTTTATTATTTTTATCCCATTGCTATATATTGCACCTGTATTATTTTCAGACATGTTTTAAAATATGCGGGCTATAGATAACATCAATAAATAATACATTAGTTTAAAATGGCTGCCAAACATGATTTATTCTCAAGCATATCGATACTACAGTTGTTCGTTTACAGCAGTAGTTTCTTCGATGGAATATCTACGCTACAATCTCTACAAGTCATAATAATACTTAATCAACTTATTTTTTGGATCCATAAACTTTTAGAATGCAGTTTGCAATAGGATGTCTTTTTTGCATGTTCCTCGTATATTTGAGACTATTTATCCGCCATTGATTCTAGAAAAAATTAGTAACTGTCTGTCTTGTACAATCGCCACTTGAGCCACAGATATTCGGTTAGCAACAAATAGATGAAACCTTGTCTTTGCATTCGCTATATACCAGAGCACTGTCTGGCTGTCGGTCCAAAAATAGGATGTCAACTCTATTTCCCGTTACAGCAGTCTGTCTATGCCAACTGATACAATGGCTGCTGTCAAATTTATACGGGTTATTGGAATCTATTTAAAGGATGCAACTCGCTATTATAAAAGGCACACTGTATTGGTTTTGATCAACTTTATTGGCCATCCTAACATTAGATAATGGGCAATATCCAGACTCGCAAGAAAGTGATGATCAAATAAGTGATGTAATTGGTAGGTACATCAAAATTTTCTTCTTTGTATGATAATAATGTTATTATAAAGTATTCACATAAAAATGCCGTATACAGATATTATGACATTATTAGATATTACTGTTTTGAATTCACCAATGCGCATCAACATGATTGTATTTACAATTTACATGCGTAACATAATTTTATGCAAGCTATGCTTGAACCAAAAAAATGGTTAACCATCGTTGGTAATTTAAATGGATGTGTTTCTATAAGCTATGGTAATGTCACTATGAACCAGTATATATCAAAAATAAAGGACAGATGTCAGATTTGTGACAATTTAGAATATGTCTGTTTTTCTACCATCAACAGACACGTCGAAATCGATTGTGACTTTATTATGATTGAATAATGCGCAATAACCCTAAAACTACGCAAATTTTATATCACAGAAATAGTTACAGTTTAGAAATAGACGCTAAAGACAAATATTCAAAAATCTATACATTATATACATGTGCACACAAATATGCAAGTAAAATGTAGTGGTCGGACTAGTCGGGGTGACTGTGATAGACAACAGGTCAGTTATATCGTGAACTGGCAAATGTTCTGAAACATGTACGGTAAACCACAATTTAAAACCACAACTGTTGCTACTGGTTGATGATAAAAGTGTAAAAACAATATGAGAGCAGAGTACGATTTACATAAAATATTGTCCCGTCACAATCACAACAAATGTAGTGAGTACTTTGATCATTTAATAAAAGCAATTCGGCACAATTTGTACTAATACATATGTAATTATTATGTTACAGTTGTTTTTAAAATCAATCCCTTCAAAAGTATTACATTACTAATATTACTAGCATGGAAATGGATTCGTTTTGCACTGCTGACCGTGTACCTTACAGCATCAACATTCTGAACATTTGATGGATTGATATACTGCCAAGGACATTTAATTATTTACTGAAATCAAAATATGAACTTGTATATTGGCATGCGAGTAATTGTACATCAGAACATTGGTTTCATGTTTGAGACATCTGTGGGTCGATCAATATAAAGTGTAATGTTCATCAATCTATAGAATATATACACAATGTTTCTGATTTAATCAAATACGGAAAGAATGGTTTCGTTGAAACAGGGATATAAAGCCCTCTTTATAGCACAATACAAGAGAGAACAAGTTTTTTTTGGCATGTTCTGAATGCTGGGCGCCAACAACATTCGGAGTCTTACACAGTGAGACTTACATATCTTGCACAAGTTGCAATTGAATTGAGCAATGGCAGTAAATAAGACAATAATTGATATTAATAACTATATTGTACAAGTCCCGTGAGTTACATCGTTGTAAATAAAAGTGATTACTTCAATACATTTACTCATGTAGCGAAAATATTTTCAATTGCACTCAAGATGAACGAATAAGCACAGCCAAGTACTTTCTGGAATAAGCTATAAAATATGTTGAAACTGTAAAATGCAGAAATTGTATAACTGGACGTAAACATGCGAAGAGATCACAATAACCACTAGTAAGTCAAATACAGAATCTGTAATTATGATACAATACTCTGCATAAAGCCCACCTCAGTCGTTATCATGTTTATTATACCTGCTCAAGCCATACTTATCAAATTAGTGAATTGTCAAATACTATATGGTAGTAACAATATTCAAATGTTATCATGGTTATAATAACGTGCACCGACTTTTACATACACGTCATATTTGCTGGTTCCTTGACTTGTCTTCGTCTTTCAACGAATGAACTGAAGTATACAACTTCCGCATGATATCCTTGTTCATGATTTCTTTCCTCACCATATACCGATTACATAAAACATTTATCAACTAAAAAATAATTTTAAAAAATATGATAATTATTAAAATATGTATAATTATACAATATATACAATCTTTTCTGTAAAATAAACAGCTTCGGGATAACTAATTAACATTACCGCAATGAGGTTTGGTATATATTATAATAAGCCAAATGAAATTGTGATCTTTCTTCATTGAATAATGTATGAAGTCTAAATAGTGGAATGGTAAGTCAGTTGTCAAAACAAATACCTAACTCACCTCCTCGTAGAGTAATCCTTTGTTTGTCTGCATTTTTCGTCTGTTATCCTTCGGTATAGTTAACTGCACATTAGGAAAATCAGAATTAGACACATGATAAATGTTCGTATTATCCATATTCATTCGTTATTTTTCGAATGTCTTACCTCAACGTCTTCATCTGTATTTGAGCTAGGCCGACACATACGAACACACTTTTTGACAATGGAAATCAAACAAGAAACTGATGGGATGATATTATACGGAGCTGGCAATACGGGGGCGTCGACATAACTCAGCCACATTTTTGTCTGCATAAACGTATACTCAATCTCGATACTGTTCTACAAAATTGACAATATGCATATATTAGAAAACGTGCAACAAACTCACCCAATATGGTAGACTTGTTTATGTTTACATATTATCTATAATTGCAGACGATTGTGTCGAAAAAAAAATTAATTTGTTATTTTATGGTCTGAAAGTATCGTGGGAAGTTTGAACTGAGCTGGAATGTGTTGTAACTGGATTGCGTTATTTTAAATATTGAAATTGTTCAAATAAAGTACCCATAGTGTAGGAGCTAAAGTTATTATCCTGTACTAATGTTTTTATACATGTTACCTTATTATAGTATTGTGGTAAGTATGAGCCAAGACACCTCAGCCTAGCATTTCCTGGGCGAGATCAGGTGATGGGATAGTGCCCTCTTCTCATCATATTTTTTTTTCATGCAAATTCGTGCTCGATTGCAGTGTACAGGGCTGTGGAATCCATATCTGGCGAGGCGATGTATTTGTGGTGAAGACCAACATTTTTTCAGTTCAGAAGAGTTTATTGTTTCGCTACTCACTCTTCCGCTGTCCAGGTAGATAAGCTGGTAATAATTCAATGGTCATCGTGGTGCAGTTTTTCAAATATGTTTGGCTTGGTTACAATTATTCAGTCAAAAGTGGTGAATTGGACACTGTATGGATTTTAGTCTTGTAATTCGAGTGTGCTTTTTTAGAGTGGCTCAAGATATTATGGATTGATTGTATCATCCATGATGAGGTGGATTCTTTGCTCTCCATCATCTGAGCAACTCTACGTCAATATTGTAGAGTGTTACTCCATGGAAGAGATCTAAATGCATGTGGTGATTGGGGTTAATCGAGTTGCAGTGTGTGTGGAATTCTATAAGACTTGGGATTCCGTGATAATAAAGATATGTACTTATGTCATATTATTTTTTTGAACATGGTCAAATTTCTATAAAACTTTTAAATTAACATTATCATTAAAATGTAGTACGTTCCCAGCAACATAGTGATGGGATAGTGCCCTCTTTTCAACATATTTTTGTTCATGCAAATTCATGCTCGATTCCATTGTACAGGGCTGTGGAATCCATATATACCTGAATAGTGTTTTTATTACTATAATATCTTTTGCGTCATTCAGGTGGGGGTTCGTATTATTAATGTGTGAAGGTCTCTCTGCGGTGTAGATAGTGATTGATGTATTGTGACGTTTGTAGATATATCGTCTGTTATATGCATATTTATTATGAAGCATTTGATAATTAGCGAGTCTATTGTATTTTACCCACTCCCTGTTAATTTAGTAATGTATCTTATTCAGTTTCTGTTGTTGTAATGTCAGTCGTAGAAACTCTGTCTGACAAATCTTTCGATTTGACTTCCAACACTTACAGTATTTTTTTAACTGCAGCAGTTTCAAACAAATATTCCACATTTGGGAAAAAATTCTCAATGCATAAACCTTCCCTTGATGGAATTTACAGTGCTCTTTTACACAACTTTTACCACAACACGAGTTTAAAATGAGTCAATGAATGTTATCTTTGTTTTCAGTATTAGTTGAATTCCTGGTGTATACGAATTGCGACCTTGTTGTTGCAACGGAATTTATATGATGTATGACATTTTGAAGGAGTGTGTGCTGTGAATGAAAATCAATATATGGCGACCTCATAATTTAGTTGTTGAGAATGAATACCTTAGCTGAGCGCGTTTCGGATGCTCTAGACTCCTGTATAGTCTCACGAGCCTTTGCGTACATACTAACAAAGGGAATGTAATTGGTTTCGCAGACGGCGTGTGCAACTCCAGCTACTGGATTTGTCTTGCCACTGGATTTTGATGGTTTTGGAAGAGAGAGTGAGATCGTTAGTGTGCAACTTTTCCTTGCTTTAAACAAAGTCTCAACACACAAGTCATCTATCATCTCACCCCAAAGCCCTGTGGCGACAAGCACGCGAAGTCAACACCAGACTCGCTAAAGTGAGTGCTACTTTTAGCAGGCTACACTAAAGGAATCACCACAGAGACAAAGATCAAGGTGTGTCGAGCTCACTACGTTACTCTACAGCTGTGAAGTCAGGAAAGTCTATCAGCATCATGCCAGAAAGTTAAACCACTTTCACACCACCCACCTCAGTAAACTTCTTGGCATAAAGTGGCAGGACAGGATCCCAGACGATCTACAGCGAGCTACAGCAAGGAAAACGCTTTCATGGTGGCCAGAAGAAGCGTTTCAGGGACACATTAAAAAGCCGCACTGAAGGCTTTTAACATCAGTCACGACAAATGCGAGCAGTTGGCCCAAGACAGGGGAACATGTCGATTAGCTGTTCACAAGGGAGCAAACAGGCCAACAGGAGTGCTGCTGCTCAAGACCACAGACAGGCCAGGAAGAACAGGGTCAACAACCCAGTAGCAGCTGCTACAATCCCCTGTCCGCACCGTCAGAGACTTTTTCGCAAGCAGATTGGCCTCACCAGCCACCTGCAAACCCACAAAGCAAGTTCAACTCGACCCCAGGATGACTAGATGGTCCTCGTCGTATCTACGGACGAACGACACAGTTGCTTTCAATTGATCTTTATGTTTGAAGGTGTACGATGATTGTTTTCAATTTATTATTCAATAAAAAAAGTTGCGCGATTTAGCAGTAATCAATAGTGTAAAAATTGTATTAATATCTACTGACCGTGTATTGTTTGTTCCGAAACTTTAAAGCCCGAGGGAAAAATGAAGTGTGTGTTTTAACGAAATTTTGATTGGGCAAGCTGAAGGTGACCTTGCTATTTCCAATTTGTTCATTCCCTGAAAACTTCTGGGTACGTCGTTGAATAATGGCTAATATCATCAATACTGTGCAATAATTTGTCGTTGTCTTATTTACCTTGTGTGCATTCAGTAGATCTTGTGTCAAGTCGGTAGACATGGGAGTCGTTGGTACATGCATGATTGGTTTTAGTTTTTACTATAGGATGAAACGTGTGTTCCAATTTCTGATTGAATGTTTTTAACCGACTTGTAGAGCAACGGTGTTTGAAGACAACCTAATTTACGTTTACAGCACATTGTCATGAATTAATTAGTCCTTAAATTTACAATATCTTTCATGACATGGAAAATAAACACAAACCATAGATCTAAACAGCAGTTGTCTGATAAAATGTATAAACAAGTTTATAAACAGATACAGATAATATACAATATTTAACATGTAATTATAATAAAGACTTCGCTCGTCCCTTGACCTGATCATATTGTATTTTATAACGTTGTAATGACAAACTTTCAAAAATTTTATATAAAATGAAAAAATGATCCCAAATTAAATTGAAAACATGCAATTCCAGGCAAACTGATAAGTAACCTTTAGCATCAAATAAATGCATTCATAAGAAATTGTCTTTACAATAGAACACAAAGGTCATTTTCTGTCAATGGCTTTGCTGAATTGTGTTTGAATTGAAGTCTTTTCTCAATTAACAGAGTGATATTCGCTTTTTATATGACGAATGGTCCACTCACCTTCATCTTTGCATAAGTGTCAGACATCATGGCAATGCAGATATTTAGCAATACGAGCATACATATAGTACCAAACGATGCATATAGTATAAACCCCATTGTTTTGTACATAGGTCTTGCATCAACTACGCCATATCCGGCACCAGTTAAGTTGAAAACCATACCCTTCGCTTTCAAACTTTCGATTGGGTTGCCTCCAAAGATCGTTGTGACCAAAACAACAAAAGACGAGGTAAATCTGTTAGCGGGGAAAACATATAGTTAAGTATAGTAGTACCAATAAGCCATTCTCCACACAACAGTAGTCTAGAAAAAATATACCGACAAAATCGATGGAAGCGGAACATCACAAACCCCCACAAGGGAGTCAGACCAGGTGCACGTGAAGGGTAAGCATCTGCTGCTGGCATGCCACACCCGCCGCGATGTTCCAAAGTCATGTCAGAAAAAATGTCAAACCAAGTTTTCAAGTTTACGCGTCAGAGTGTGTGTGTACATGTGTGCAGGTTAAGTGATTCAGAATCATTAAGTTGAAAAAATATTCTCAATAATTTTAATATAACTGGTACCCGTCGATGTCAGAGTATGTATTTAGTATGTTCACAATATAACTAAGCTGGGGAAGACAAAGTTCTTATTGTTATATACTGGGAAAGCAACTTTGTAAAACAAGGGATTTTTCCACACGAAAACGACGAATTCGGCCAAATTTTGTTAGTGGTTAGCTTTATATTATCTAAATGGTGCGCTATTGCTGTGAAAAAGAGTGGTATTTTTTCCTCGGTTTGTAGGAATCTGAAAAACGCGTTTCACAACTTGTTTCTTTAATTAGTTTCATGCCGTGTTCGAGGTGGCGGCCCCATAGAGTAAATATCGCTTTTATTTTATTATCAATTATGCGACAGCTGACTGTGGAACTATGTACATAAACATATCCCACATCGTTATTGATGTTAATGGAAATGGTCAGTATAGTTTTGAAAATTCTTGGTAGTCTTCAAAGAAAAATGCTGAAAGGTTTTAGTACTGGCAAAACCACAAGTAAGTAAGCATCAGTAAGCTCTCGTTCAAGCCTCCTGTCAAATCAGAAAATCTGGAAGGATAGCCAGTCAATTTATATAAAGCTTTTTTTGTCATAATGCATGGTACAAACGGCATTTACATCTACATCTACAACGCTTTACCCTGACCAACTTGCCAACCTAAATCAATGAAAACAGTATCAATCAAGAGGTATGTAATTTTCCGGTATATCCAACCACAAATTGGAATGCTTAACATGTGCTACATCGGAGACCACTATCCCATCTCTAATGACCACAAACGTTTGACGAAAGCAAATAAATGCTTCATATATTTCAGCCATATTTTCACTGGTCCAGTACACAGCACACACGGCATTTCATTTAAGAGCCCAGTGTTTATCTCTTGATCAGAACAGTTGTTCTCAGATACATCCTTGAATCCTACAGCCAAATTTTAGGCACAAGTGACGTAATACTTTGCTACATTGGCTTTTTTATCTAAAAAAATAAAATTGAACCAATTATCTGGTGAAAAATCAGTCTTATTTTGTTATTATTCACCATATGGGTCAAATCCCATGTGTTCGTTTCGTTCATGTGCCGTCCTTGATAAAGTGTGCTATCTGTCGCATACGTGTAGGCAAATTCTTATTCTCAGCATATTTCCTAAGAAACGTGTTCAAAGGGCATTGCCAATGCTCGACCATCGATCACCAAACAAGCAAATTCTCTCAGCGAAAGTTGTGACATTTTGCATCTACTAGAAGCAATTTATTGCATGTGGAAAGACTTCCAATCACTTCAGCACGTAACATTTGCATTTGTTCATGCATATATTGTTTACATTCCTTAGTTGGGTTGGACAACGTTGGGTAGACACCAGCACAATAATGGTTATGAAAGAAAACAACAGTGCTACAAAATTCAGTGCATATATACGACACTCTTTTTTCGAATCTTACTATGATTCTTGTAATACACATGTAGTGGCGTCATCCTAAAATTTTGTGCACAAAACTAATGCAACGTCATTAGGGAATATTTGATAACACATATATAAGTATATTTACTATTCAAAATATGCTACAGTATAATTTTTTTATTTAAATATGACGGCCATTCTGGAGAATATATTAAAGATAGAGGACAATGTTTTATAAACTTAAATGACACAATATTAGTATGTGGCTTCTTTGGTCACAAATGTAGTACCATTTTTATTTGTCAATTATGTGAAATATGTGAAACATGGCGGCCATGTTGGTTTTAACAATTTGGGATCATGCTTGGTAAAACAAATCATTTTAAAATAGGGGCATAACACCAAAGCAACCGTAAATAACCCCTATAACACTTTTTTGCAAACATGAAATGCTCACAGAACGTTTTTAAATAAAAGATGGACCAGACTAGTAAGTTATTCTTGCCTATATGACAGACTTGCATGGCCCTATGTATAAACTACCATATACATCTCTGATCTGGTTAGAATCCCCTCGCAGTGTTACCGTTTTACATTATTGAATTCAAGGCGCCTTTTTTCTCGGAACACATCATTTAAATCTCACTTACGAACTTCATTCAGTAAAGCGTAACAATGTGTATCTCCAATAAATATATCAGTATTGCATTGTGTTGATAATTCGCATAAATTAATAATAGCTAGTTGATCATTTAATCACATGTTTGTATGAGCTTGAATTGCTTTACTTATTTCCCATTTATAAGTGTATTAATATCATATTTTTGTGTAAGTTGTAATTAATGTGCCTTCCGTTATTTGCCACACTCAAAATTTTTGACACAAACAGGGGCTATATTACTAATATAGCAATAGTTAAAAATAAACATTGACCATATTATGCCTACTGATATGACTGAGATTTAATGACATTTGCCAGGTCAGTAGGCAAATTTGAATCAAACTAAAAACTTCATATGAACAGGGAATGTAACAACAGATTTTTACTGAAAAGCAGGGCATACTCACTCGCTAAACACAGTGTCGGTACCAAAATCATCATACAGGTAGTAGAATCCGAGTGCAAACGCCGTTACAGTGTATAGAAATATAATGAGAAATCTGATGACGTCACTGGTCATTGCAGTGAAGATTAGTAGCATGGGACCAAGATAGAAGGAAAGGTAGAAATTGTTCAAGAATCGAAGACAAGCAACAGTAAGAATTAAAGCCGTCCAGGTGATCCAGAATAAGTTAACCTCAGGATTGACGTACTCGCCACTTAACAAACTAACAATACGAAGCGAGGAGTCCGCAAGAAACGAGAACAGTACCAGTAGATCCATGTAGTTCCAAAAAGAATTGAAGTAACATATCAATCCGCTTATTCTCATTTCTCGAATTTCCCCCCAGATAAGCGCAATTTCATAAATTATGAGACAAAATAAGAAATACTCATAGGCATAATCCGCATAAAACATACCACCAGGACCGAAGTTAAGCAAGATGCCTAAAATAACAAATTGCAAGTATGCCACCATTTGCGTTAAAAATTTGGCTTTAGGGTTGTCCAGAATTTTCGCCACAGACGAGCAAGGTGCTATGATATACATGACGGCAAGTAACGGCATTAGTAACACGTATACAATCAAACAGTATATGCAGTACAAAACCCACCACCAAAAGCTATTCCTGCAATGCCATCCTGGTTGGCCTTTGTTCCAAAGCTTTCTAATCACGTTCTGACATTTGTAGTGTGCTATGAACTGGAAATAAAAAAAATATCAAGCATCAAGTCTACTAAAAATGTACAGTACAATGCATGACCAGGTAAACATTGAATTGATACAAAAAATGAGAACGTACGTGGATGTGTATTGCATAACATTTATATATGTGTATATAACTAGGCATAATTATGTATGAAATAGAGAACAGATCATTGTAATCATTAAGTCTCAGATAGTTTGCTGGTATTTTAATGCATGTTGCAATTGTTTGATGCACTAGGCTACAAACGGGGTTACACAAAGGATGTTTCATCTATCTCGTATTGTATTAGAAAACACATAGTTTAGGTAATCCCCCTAAAATCACATTAACATCGTTGTTCCAAAGCTGAAATATGTTAATAGTTCATCACAAAAGGTATCACATTTCTCATGGTTAGTTTAATAAGTCAATTGGATAAAGTCACTTATTACTTAAGAAATTACTTTAATACCAAAATAGCAAATTAGGTTATTTATAGTATTGTAACTATCCGAATGTTAAGTGATATTACATACAACCCCTACATTTGTTATGCTCTATATAACTTATATCTTAAGTTATAATGTTCTTATCCATTATTTACACTTATCGACACGAATAAAAACGGCTCTACATAATGGCACTAACTGTTCTATGTCACATTTATGTTATTTATAAACATTTTCCTTACAGAATAAGATAACGAACATGCCGACAATCATTACAGTTAAGCACCAGTTCTTTAAAAAGCGGTTCATTTATATTATCTCCGCGATATAGTATAGTACTACACCAGTGATTGGTAAAAGTACTAAAGTAACTTACATTTTCCAGTGATGTTTTGAAAAATTACCTGTACTAAGGTGTATTTCCAGATATGTGTAATGTTTCAAAAACCTTTCAAAATTGTTTGAATTTTACATGATTTAAATGTGTTTGGGTGATAATAACAAGTTTTTCTGTTACACACCTTTTTATGCTTGGTTGCTATGGCTTTGGTGACCACTTTTCCTTTCAGAAGAAGTTTTCTTTCCGCATTTTCATCATAATTGTATCCAAGAATCAAAGTAGACACTTCTTCAGAACATTCACAGCAATCAAGTAAATCTAGGGTATGCTGTTGTACCTTATTTTTCAATTCAATATATCTTTCCTTAGTGAAGACAAAAAAAGAAATGCATATATTACAATTATACGCTGTGCCCTGTCAAGTCTGCTGTAATAACTTTTATTGCAGTAAAAATACTGGATATGTAATAATGTAATTCAATACCACTGATGTCATTTGAGATTCTTTTGCTTCTGTTACTTTCTGTAAATCGTTTGCTAGATCCATCGATGCCATCACTGGATCACGGTTAGCGAGGTTTAGGTATGCGGGTGAAGCAAGTCCACAAAATATGCTGTAACTCAAGTCATCGTCCAAAATCTGTTCTTCTCCTGAAATAATGACATTTATTCAACACGTTACAAACGCATGCATTATATATTTACGTTTGTGACTATTTTCTCTTTACACAATTTTATTTCATATGTACTAACCAATGCATATCGACGGTTTAGGAATACGTTTCACACCACTATCCAACAGCAATCGAACCATCTGGAAGTTGTTGCTTTCAGCGGCAAGCTGGATTGCCGTAACTGGTAGCATACCCCGCATGACAACGCAGTTGACGTCAAATAATCCATTCTGTTAAACAGATTTAAAATACGCGAAGAAATATTACTAATATTCATTGCACTACAGTTAAAGTCTTTTGGGCTAAAACCAATTAATTATTGTATGTGTGGCTCTGATGTGAAATACGGAATTTTAGTTCATACATACGATATAACTTTCCTAGATATTGGTTCTATCTGGTTTGTTTTTATTATAGATTATAGATCACACTTAGCATACATTTAGAGGGGTAAAGAATACACTATTGTTATGCAATTTGTCAAATCAAAATATTTATGTTTTCGAAAACCGCTGGAGCTATGTTGTCTATGTGTGTGTTGGGGTGAGGTTAGCTTAACAATATGTTACCCACGAATGTCACCTCACATTAAAGAATTAGCATAGATGAATATTGACACTGATATTACAGTCGCTAAATATTAATATTAATAGGTAATATTATTCTGAAATTGTAGAAACCTCATTGTATAATTACTATATGAGTAAACCATGCTAGCATGAGTGCGTTGGGTATGGCAACTGGAGCAAACTACCTAATATAAATGCTTTAGTAACTGGTCATTTGCACCAAACAATAACACAATAGGTGTTCGCTGCTGCTCTTATTATAAAATACACACGTGATATATGTACGAGGAGAAGACTGGTCTGTAACAGCATAACCATATGCTAGGACAACTGCTTACCTTCAATAACATCTTAGTTTTAACAACATCACCACTTTCGACCATTTCTAAAAATTCCGCTTCGTTGGGTGTTAGTCCATCGTCCCCGTCCATGAAATAGGCCCACTCTTTAGTTGTCATTTTGGAAAGCTCACACACGTCGGACTCTGCCATGTTGAGTTCCGGTACAGTTGCGTTTTCTATTTAGTTTCGAATCACAGATTATTCAATCAGAATGGGTTGTCTTCGTTTATTAAGACTGTAGTACGCTGTAAATCACTTGAGAACGTGATTTGACAAGAAAGTATGTCGTTGTTGTTGTTTTTTAAGCGAACGCCCTGGTCACATGCACACTACATGTCCATGCTTGTATTATTACCACTGTTCTGGGCCAGGGCTTACTTGTTCTTGTCTTTCCGTTGGCCAATCAGTGACGACGGATTGTTGTGACGCTGACGAGTATATTATTTTTATCCCTTTACAATTGCACATGTATTACCTGGACATGTAAAATATGCGGGTTACCTGCATCATACTCACCATGCAATCGCGAATAACGATTAACAACTCATTTAATATTCTTTAATAATTCGATATAAAACGTATTTGTTTTGATTGTACAGTAAATACGACCCGGTAAATGCAAACACTAATTTCTCTATGCAGCCTGATCTATGTATTTGTTATTTAGGTAATATTACATACGGTTCAAACTGACACGCGGATAAAAAAAACATTTCAAAATAATTCTGAAAATAATTTACTAAATGTCATAATTAGTCATTATCGACACAACGTATGGCATTTGATGCTGTTTATAATTCTACCAATGACACAAGAATGTTATATAATTGCAAGCTGTGTTGTAAAGCTGAAAAAACGGCGACATATGGTGTGAAGAAAAAACATTTCAAAATTAGTTTGTTGCTAGAGATAGAAAGACGGCCAGATAACATCAATGCTGTAAAATATGTTCAATGTTCTATGTTTCAGGACAAGAACACATTTTGATCGACGAATTAACGATTTCGTGGCCCAACTTCACCTGCCTACCTTACCCTCGCTAACCGCGATTCAGTAATGGCATCGATGGATCTATTCATCGATTCACTGCCGAGAGTAACAGAAGCAAGATAGATTCAAATTGCATTAGTATACCTATCATTTTCACTACAATAACATGTATTACAGCGAACATAGCATTTGGCGTTTGGTAGTGTAAATGTGCCAAGATCTATTGGTACCATCATTCTGGTTTTGTTTTTAATTCCGTAATTTTTAGTGTCTCGAATTTCATTCATATTGATGTTAGTATTGATATGATATTGTTTTCCTGAGTGTTTTTATTTTTAGATGTTGGTGATGGTGTGTTTCAATTTTAACCGTTTCAATTGCACTCGCTGGTACATAGTATCATTTGAATACCTATTTGAATGTGTCTAAAAACATTGTTGATAATTGTATTGTTATACATGCTGCCACATGCATTCCCACACATTAAATAAACGGGGAAAGTGTTATGACCCTTTGACTACCGAACAACAGACAACTTCCCGTTGCTAGAGGTAAGAACTTGCCTGATTACTAAGCGCATAACACTCTAACCTTCGTCAATGACTTTAATAGGGACAAGTCATCTTGATGATTTTATTGACAAAAACAAAACAAAAAATCAATCTACAAACATATCCTGAGAAAAACGTTAAGACGCCCAACTGACAATACTCTCGGCATAACCAACCCGTATAATGAGATATGTCATAATGCTTATTTCATTTTTAATGTTACCCGTTAACGTTTTAATTCCACTCACTGCTACACAATATTTCACACTGGTTTGAATGCGTCTAAACAATCGTTGACAATTGTATTACTAAACAAGCTGTCACGTGCATTTATAAATACACAGAAAACGTGTAATAACCATCTGTTTTTATGTAAAGCTGGACTATAAAATAATAAGATCTATGCGTAATTTAATTTTAACTCTGTTAACGTTTTAAGTCCACTCACTGCTACACAATCTATCATACCTGTCGAAACAATCGTTGACAATTGTATTACTATGCAAGCTGTCACATGAATTTTCACTTCATGAATAAACAATAAAGTGTAATATCCATCTGTTTTATGTAAAAGCCTAATAATGAGATGTATTGTTATTCCAGTTTTAACTCTGTTGTGAAGGAAAAATGTCTCTTTTTATGCAAAGCCGAACTACTGAAAAATAGACACATTTCAGTTTCACCTCTAGGTCAGAACTTGCCTGATTAGTAAGCGTCCAAGCGCCTAACTAACGGTACTCTCGACACAACCAACTCGTTATTTTACATTCATAAACTTCAGGTTTATATTGGCAAATTGAATAACATCAAAACGTTTTCAACTGATGTCGTTGTGCGTCGCGCTTGTTGATTGGCTTGATTGATAACTAAAACAATGACAGAAATCAGTGTGTTGTAATATTTATTTAACCTTTATGGTTGTAGTAAGATCACCTTCAAATTTACTAAACATTGATATTGACTATTTTCAAAACAAGCAGTTTGTATAACGACTGAATGGATATGATTCTCACATCGAACTTAAAATTCATTCAATGTCAAACAAATCACAGGAGTTGTGATTCTATCACGGACTGAACTCTGTAATAAAATCGGTGTTATTGATTGCCGTTACATATCTGATACAATAGCTTAACAATATTGATGACGGAGAATATTTAATCGTGTAGAGGTTAATGTGAAATTGGCATTTGCATTTGCAAATTGATGTATTTTGAATGGTTGATGCATTTCTGAATTAGGCTTCCATGGATGTTCTGATGAGCAAATTCACGATATGTTGGTATTATTGAATGATACCAATGCTTCTTTTAAGTAAGTCACTCCACAAACAAATCTGACTAACTACTCACTACAATTTCCACACTGAAAATTATGGAATAAAAATGTAGGTTCCAATAATTCTTTGCACATACAATAATACTGCCTAAGCCATATGCTACGTCCACTGTACTAACTTGTTTTGTGGTGAAAATGTAATTTGATTTTTTTTCTTGCAGTAATCGAACCATTTGGATTGCCATGACTGGTAGTATTCTCCTCATCTTGCGTTAATTAAAATTAAAACAGTAAAAACTGCACTTTTGTCGCCCTTTCCTTGTCATCCTAATTTATTTGCTTGAGAATCCTGGAGCTATTTTTGGTTTGTGTATCAGGTGGATAGGTTATGACCTAACTATGTCAGCATACGTATCGTTAGTTCGTCGTGTCTATTTACTATAAATGTAAATAATAGTGAATGTGAATGATTAGTTAGAACTACAAACATGGGCAACATAACAGCGTTGTTACTAATGTTTTTTGATGATGGGTAAAGTGAGTTTGAGGCTAAGAGTGGCCTGTAACGGCATATGCATCTGGTAAAATAAATTATTAACTTGAATAATATTTTAGTTTTAACAATATCATCTCTTTCAATTATTGAAAATAATTTAGCTTCATTGGAATTTAGCCAACATTTGAAACAACAATGAGCCATTGTTGTAAACAATGATGGGTTTATTGTGTATTATATATTATGCACCTGTATTGTTTCCAGGCGTGCTGTAAAATATGCAGGTTACTGGTGCCATATTTGCCATTCAATCTGCAATTTATACTACATGGAACGTACGATTTCTTTTATGCTGCAGTAAATATAGATAGGCAAATACAATTATGTATTTATGTGACCTGAACTATATATTTTTATCACCACATATGACTCAAACTCAATCGCACTCACGACTGTTTGTTACCAATATTATTTAAAATGCGTATTCATCTTATTTTTTATTGTTATATCATTTTGTCATTTTGCTTCTGGTAATTGTTTTATTGTGAAAAGAGCACTATGAATATGTTAATCATTGTTAATTAACTAATTAATTGAATAATTAGTTTATAAATTGCTGGTTTTCATAATATTTGTATTGTATACTGCAATATCTCCAAATACATTATTTGTTAGGACTATAATAAATAACGCTTACGTATATCTCGTTATTATTCATCTCTCCACATCATTTCTCTAGGTGCGTCATCCAAACAGCTTTTTGATAAATAGTTTGTAGTGTAGTGTAGTGTGTAACTTAAATACTCATAATATTTTTCAGACATACCTGTAATACTAGTAATACAAGCAGTCACTAGTATTGAAGAATTATTGTAGTGGAACTACTGGTTGAAAACTTGAGTGTCGACACAATTCCGACAGAATACTGTTATGTCACTGTACGCTCAAGAACGCTTAACAATGGAATCAATCATTTTGTGTTTGCTTGCGTGATTACATACAGCTGGAAGCCTGTCATCTCTCGATCACGACACTTGTTGGCGATATTACAACTTGTTAGTACATGTACATCATCTATGCAAGTCATATTAAGTCAATACAAAATTAAATAAAATATGACAGAAATCTTACACCCATAATACAAGTATGTCAGCTTCAAGAAGGGTACGAAAAATGTAAACGAGAATATCAATGTTTAAAGAATGAGTTTTGATTAAACTTAGCTAGTAATGTTGCATTTTGCCTATTTTGATTTATAAACAGATATATTGTAATTAGGTGAACTAATTTATATATAAGCTGTGAGTAATATAGGAAACGTGTTTGAGTACTATATGATACGAAATGTTAGACACTATCCTATGTGTCAACAAAACGAAAATGTCCTTTTACACAAACACATTGCATGTCAATTCGGATTTTGTTTTTATTGTATTGTTTCTTGGTGGTTGCTATGGAGACACAAACCAACTCTTCTAATGTATGTTGATCCTATTCATTTAAAAGCCTTGTTCTTTTTTTAATAGTTTGGTTATAATATCTCTTGTGTATGTTATCAATATTTATTAGATATTAGGCTTGTAATAAATTTATGTGAGGATAGAGCGTGAGATAATATCCAGATATGTTTACATCTACTCGTGGAAATTAATAAACAATAATGTCAACAATGACTAATATCAACAACTATATATTTTTGCTATAACGCAGGTATTCGGACAATAAGTATAATATAGACGCCATTTGATGTGCAATTATTAGATTATGAGCGTATTTAGCTGTATGTGTATATCGCCCTCTGAGTAAAAAAGTTTCTTTCGTTTTAAGGGTGGTAC